CAACTTGTTAAAGTTGTAATTTGAACTAATAAATTGTTAAATGATGACTAAGTACTGAAAAAATCCAGCAATCATCCGTTTGGGAAATGGCAACAATCAATTGTTGATTAACCATTTTTTTACAATCACACAAATGATTGAATAATGCAGTGTATATATTATAATTGAGTATAAAATAAAAAGTTAGGTCAAGGTTGAAAATAGAAAAATAAGAGAAAAAAAAATTGGTAAAAAATCGAAAAGAAAAGCAAAATGAGCAAATATTTTTTCTTTTGAGAGATAAAAAGATATGTGAAAAGTAATAGCAATGATGGAGTAAAATGGAATAAGCGAGACAAATAGTAAGGAAATAATTTTTTATTCAACGGAAGAAATGATCGAAAAGGTTGGTTGAGTCAAATAAACATAATAACCTTGACAATTGAGTCAAAATAGTAGTACCTCATTCAGTGATGGTGACAAATGACAGTCATTTTAGGCTTCTTTTCATTGTAGTATAATGGTTATGTTCTGATTTCTTCCTAACTTTTAATTGACTTGATAAGAAATCATTCAGAATATCATCTAATTGAGAAAATATGGTTTAATATGTAAAAATTAATTGTAAGGATGAAATTTTACTTTTTAATTTAACTTTTTAATCTATAATAAACTGATATCTTTTAAATTTAAATTGTTTTATTATATTTCGTTCTTAAAGAAATTAAAAGATAATTTCAGCTGTTTTGACTTTGACATATTTCTTCCTGTTCTATATTTTTATCCTAATTTCGAACTAATCTTAACCAAACTGAATTGAATTTAAGCTCCTCGTTTTGCAATAATTCTCAGACTATGACCTACTTTCAGTGAAAAATAATTTGACTTTTTCATCTATAATAAACTATCAAATATTCAAATGTTAAATTTTAAAATTCAGTGTTAAATCTTAATTTTTCTGCGAAAATCAATATTCACGAGCAAATGAATTATTTATAAGAAAGTATGAAAAAAAAATTTTTTTTTAATTGTAAAGCAACGTAAAATTCAAATGTGAAAAAGGACAAAAAATAATTTAACAAAAATATATTCAGACATAAGCAATAAAATAAATGAATAATTGGAAACTTTCAATTATCTCATAAAATATATAAATATCTAATATCTATCAGTTTGATTTTTCAATTTGTTTTTTTTCTCATGCATATATTACTTTTTTCTTTCCCTTTTTTAAATTTTATTGTAATTTTTAATACAGTTTCTGTGGAAAATAGTTCTTTTTCAAAATGTTTTTTTTTTATTTTTTTGTTTTCTACACATAATTGTCATAGCATATTTTTTAATAAAATTAAATTAATCAGTTGTTTCTGTACCTACATTACTTTTTTATTAACGAATTTTTAGTTTTTAAAATTTTTTTTTTCATTATTTTAATAGTCAAATTTTTAATTCAAACATTTACGTAATTTAAATTCAAATTTGATGTGTTTTTTTTTTTTTTTTTTATAATTTATGAGAAAAAAGAGGCTATACATTTTTTTGAAAGAATTTACAATGCTAAATGTTCCGTTTTTTTTCTCAGATGCGTAGAAAATTTATAAATTTATTGGTCTTCCGGAAATTTTTATGTTTGATTTTAAAAACATTTTCAATGCCTAAAACAGTATGACATTATATTTTCAAATCGTTTATCAACTTAATTTGAATGTCCTATGTCCTTCATCCCCTTTTTGTAAATTAAAATGAAATCTCGCTTTGTGCTTTAACAAAGAGAGAGAGAGAGAGAGAAACCGATTTGTCCAGGAAAATGTTCCAGAAATTTCTGCTACAATGACACTACTAAGTGTTGACCAGTTATGATAAAAGAGTTTCTAAATAATCTAAATAAGCTAATATTAGCTAATGCATAGAACTGATTTGACTCCTTGAAGATTTCAATCCGGAATTTTTTCTGGAAAAATGGTTCGTTCAAATCGATGTTTCTCATCAATCCAAAACAGTACTGGTAGTACAAAAATGAAGATTGAAATAGTTGGTTGTAGAAATGTTATTCTAATGGATTGAATAAACTTTCTGTTTATTTGATTATAAAATTTTATTAGATTTTTTTGTTCCATTCTTTATTATTGAAATGTTTGTTATTTTAATTTCTTATTCTATCAGTTTCAAAATTTTATTTGCATTTTCGAAATAATTCGCAATAATAGCTATTTGATCATTTTTCAGAAATGTACAAAGAAAAAAAAAAACTCTAACAAACATAAGAATAAATATCTTTTCCTTCTCTCATGTAAATTCATAAAGTTTTTTTATTGGTGGAAAATGAATTGAGATTGAGAAATTAAAATAATAATTAAATATTATGAACTTAAAATAGCACTATGTCCTCTTTCATTGCTTTCTAATAACTATTTCTTACTGAAAGTGACAAAAGTTTTTATCTTATTATTGAAATCATATTCAATATTAATTTGAATGTTTCAGTGTCAGTTTTTGAAATAAATTATCTTTTTAAATTCTTAAATTATTTGAGCAAAATTTACATGCGGGTTAAGTAAATGAAATATGTTGTTTTAAAATGATTCTAAGTTCCATGTCCCTTAAAAATCATCACTAATTTTTTAAATATTAAAATTTTTCTTGAAGAAGATAAATCTCAAGTATGTAATTAATTATTAAAAATTTTGATTGCAAGAAATTTGATTGAAATTTGATTGAGTTAATAAATGAGGAAAATTTTTTTTTTAATTTTGATACAACAAAACTCTTAGTAACTGTTTCAATTCCTAATTTCAATATGATTCTTGACCGTCAATTCATTTTTTCAAATTAAAATGACTAACAAATTATTGAGAGTCAACAATACTGAAATCATAAAATGCATTCAGTAGTTTTTTTTTTCTTTTTTCATTAAAAAATTAGGTTTATTATATAAATTTATATGTATATATATTTAAAACTAGGTTCTTTTTATTATATATATATAAACTTTTATAATTTCAAGATTTTTTGTTGGAAATAAATAGTGATTAATCTATTAACACTAATTTTTCCAAAATAGCATACCTAAGAGAGAGATTCACGATGGGAATTTGAAAATGTAAAATTATTTCATTGCTTGAAATAATTTAGACTGATTGCTTTAATGATCCATAATTAATTAATTAATTAGCAGAAATCTGCTATTTATCCGTCTCATTTCAATTCAGTAATATTCAGTTGTCTCATTGATACTTTAAATAAATTGAATTACTATCTGAGCGATAATGCTGCATTGATTATTTCTAAAAATTAACTTTCACTTGAAGAAATGTCACAATTCTATTGATTGAGAAAATAATTCAAGCAAATCGTCGTAAAAGCATAAAACTTAATCTAACAATTTTTAAAACTAAAATTGTCAATTTAATTATTTATTGAATTTATTAGAAGCATCTAGAAGACAAATCATACATTATTTCTAAAATTTATTTCCATATTGAAAATAATAAGTAAAGTTTTTTTTTAAAAAGAAAAATCCTTTTGCAAAAAACTACTTTTCTCAATTAACACAGTGTTATGCAGTATTTTTAAAAACTTAAATTTTTTAGCTTTAAATTGTTACAATCACTAGGACACGTCATTTGATTCATTCATTTTTGTACCGTTTAAAATTTCTAAACTTGAAGTATTCATTGATTAGCAAAAAAAAAAAAAAAAAAAAGAGAAAAGTAATTGGAAATGAATGAAGTAAGAACTAATATATCACATAACATTTGGCAAACAATTGGTGCATATAAATTTAGAAGGTCAAATTTACAAGAAAAAGTTTTTATGAAGAGATGGCATCTCTAAGTTCTATTATAATAAATATTTGACCTTAACCAGAAATGAGTGATACATTTTATATCTCTCTTCATTTCATTCTATACAACTCTTCAATAACATTCCGACTTGTCAATGTTTCACTAAAATTATCGTCCATCGCTGATCGAAAATAGAAATGTGTTATCATTTCATTAATTTACACTTTTTTGTTTTTCATTTTCCATTTAAAAAATTTATTGGCGAAATTTATAAATTTTATTAAATACTTTATTCAAATTTAATACGATATCCTTTGATGATTCATTTTTTTTTTTTGTTTAATTTCATTTGCATGAAAATATTTCATTACTAATTTAATATTATTTAATCGTATTTATTGGAATTAATTTCATTTTATTTCAATAGATTAAATAAAATCATTGCAAATCAATGAAATGACTTTATATTGATTTCACATTTTAAATTATAATTTCTTTCTGCCAACTAACTAAGTTTACAATCTGTTTAAAAAGCAAAATTTCTGTGCATTCCAAATTTTCACATAAACCTAACAAATTTAATTAAATTTCTCTTTTTTCCAAGTTATCTTCCTGAGATATAAACCGTAAATTAATCAAAATTTTCTTTTTGTAATTATTAAGATTTAATTAAAAATACTTTACATAGATATAATGTATATTATTAATTTTAAAAAATACAAATTTAATAAATATAAATCTTTTTCTTGCTATCTTCCTCTTCCCGTGCAAAAAAAAAAAGAAAATTAATTGCAGAAGAATGAAAAAGATTAAACGATTAGTTGAGTATTTAATTACTTCCATAAGTTTTGAAGCAAATTTAAATTACAAATTTAATTATTATTACCTTCTTTTCAACAAATTTATCTATGAATAAAAAATTAGCATATTTTTGTAATCATTGGTCTAAATTAATATTTATTTTAACACATTTAAACATTTCGATATTTTATTTTGTTAGTTTCATTTCCATAACAGAAAAATATGTACAAAAATGGAATGAAATTCAATTTTTGTTTTTGTCTTGTTGTTACTGAAAGTAATTTAGAATGGAATAATTTGAATGATGCAAAATTTTGATAATTAATTTTTTTGCAGATGTAATTTTTATTAGATAATTAATTTTGAATTAGTCGATTAAAAACATCGATAACTATTTTCTGATGCTAATGCTTTTGTAACAAAAGTAATGGACCTATGCAGTACGCTTCTCCCATCTATCTTAAAAGGTTTTCACTTTCTCATTTATTTTATCACTAATTAATTTTTATTATTTAGTTTATTTATTCAAATATCGTTTACAATCCTAAATTTAATCTATATGTTAATTTAAAATTTTACTAAATACAAATGATTGAAATGAAGATTAATTGATTTTCATGTTCATATAAAGCAATCGTATATTTATTTCATTCAACAATTTGCAAACGTAAATTCTTCATAATGACGTTTATCCGTGACGTTGATACGTTATATACGTGCAGATCACCGTATCGTCTTTATCGACCGTATCAGTTTGAAATTCAACGAACAACAATTCCTAACAATTCAGCAGTACTTCATCGTACACCAAATCTTGATATCTTATCAGAAATTAATCGACGATCTAGACGACTCGAACGTATTGTTTCTTATCAAAAAATTTTAACAGTTACTCAGGTATTTTCGTTTTTTGTTTTGAATTTTTGATAAAAATTTGAATATAATAAGTTTTACTTTTCGAAAACATTAGTATTAATCTAAGAATTATATGAGTTAATATGAAAAATTGATAAAAAAAAGAGTCATAAATTATTTTTTTTCATAATATATTTGGATTTAACTTTTACTTAAGAAGTATTTTCAATTATTTCGTTTTAAAAATTAGTGATAACTACTTACTTGTTAATTTGAATTTGCCATAACCAGTTGAAAATCAAACTTGAATTTATTATAAATTTTTTTACTATTTTTTTTTTGTTAATTTTTGCAATAAGAAAAGTATAGACAGAAAATTCAAGTCTTTTTTTTTTAATAATAATTTTTCCTAAAATAAAAGAGCAAAAAGTTTTATAATTTAAGGCATAAAAACAACTAAATTATTAATTATTTGTGTGAAGGGTTAAATTTTATATGTTATTTTTCAATTAAAATAAATTACAAGAAATTATTTTCTTTTTTATTTCACACTTTAAAAAAAAAAAAAAAAAATGATTCTTTTAGATGTTACTTTCACTACTTTTGATTATAATGGAAATGACAAAAATTTTGTTAATATGGGAGCATTTCAATAATTGGGAACAAAAATTTGTCCTCGTAAGTTTAATCATTCATTTCATTTAAATAGCATTTAAATACTAATAAAATATACTAATTTCTTTTTTTAATCTTTTTTTTTTTTTTTGAAAGTTAAAGTATTTGCAATTGAAAATTATGTTTATTTTGTTGAAAAGTTAGCGATAGAAAATTTTAGAAAATAATCGAAATAATAGATAGAATTTATAATGATAATTATTGATAATTTCAGATATGCGAAATGTTTCAACCAATACTTTTTGCTACTATCGCATTTATAACATTTTATAGCGTTTTGCGACCAACAAAAAGTATTACACAAATCGCTATCGCATCACTTGTCGCAACATTAATACCATTATTTCTGTTTCCCACTCAATCGCCATTTGTGCTCAGTAAGTTAAATTTTTCAATTTCTATTTTTAGTTTTTTTAATGATAAATTTAATTATCAATGAAATGCTCGTTTAAATGATAAATTGCATTATTATTATCAATGCAATTCAATTTATATAACTAAGAAAAATAAAATCTGCAGAAATAATTTATAATCCATAAATTATTATTGTAAATTCTAATTTCTATTTTTAGTGATAATCAGAATTTTAGTGTTAATTTAAATTCAGTGAAACATTTTTTCTATTTTGTTCTTACTAAATTTGAAAATTTTCTTTCACACTTTTTTTTGATTTGATTTAAAACAAAAGTAGACAAATTCTTTCAGCAAGATTATTTTCTTTTAAAATAAGTTTTATCTCTTAAAATTCACGATTGCTTTTTAATCGAGTTTAAACTTTAAATTTTATTAAATGAGATTTATAAGAATATACATGTGCATACATATTGACTACCGAAAAATGTGAAAGGAAAAAACGAAAAGGTCATTCAAATGGAAGACACTTAGAGAATGTTGAAAATTTAAAAAAAAAAAAAAAAGAAAAGGAAAAAGAACAATCGATAACATCTGTAATAATGATAATTTAAGTTTATTATTTGATTAAATAGTTCCTGTAAATAATTAAAACATTTTTCTTTCTTTTTTGTGAGAGCGAACGCTTTTATCGTTTATCAAAAACAGTCTAATATTCTAAAAATTTAAATTATATTTTAAAAGATTTCGTGTTTTGATTTCTTGCACAATGATAAAATAAGAACTGAATTTTTTTTATCAGTAAAAAGAAAAAAGAAAAATAAAAGACAAAAGGCGTTTTTTTTTTTTGGAAATACAAATTTCAATCAAATTTAAATCAAAGCAATGTTAAATTTTTTGAAATAATCTATTTATTTGCAATATTAAAAGTTAAATATTTGTTAAGTTAAAATTGTTGTAAATAACTTAACTTTTAGGACTAAATGAAAGCAAAAAAAAAAAGAAAAAGACAAAATCAATCAATCATAATCATATTGCAACCATCAAACATTCTGTTCCACTTTTTTATTTTTTTTTTGTTTAAATCTCATTTTTCAAAAATTTGAAACTTTCTTTGAGTAATTTGATTTTGACGATAATTTTCACATCCGACATAAATGCGAGAAAGTTCTGAGGAAAACATTTGACATAGCATTTCAATCATTTTTTTGATTATCATTTTTTCAAGATGACAAAAAAATGGATAAATTTTCAGCTGTCAAAAAATAATCGCAATGAATTATGCAATAAATATATTAAACTTAATTAATATCGAATTCATTTCGAATACAATTAAATAATTTCCTATTGTTATTAGTTCCATTCTAAAAATATATGAGGAAATTTTACATTTATGCTATATGCTATGAATTTTTTTTTCTTTTATTTAAAAGATAAAGATGAAAATTTATCAAATCATATCAAAAAAAAAAAAAAAACTTTAATATCAATGAATGGAAATTTTTTTTTATTGCAAAAATTGAAGAATAAATAATAGTTTCATTAGAATTTATTGCTATAGATGGAATTGAAGCAATGCGCTTGAATCGATTGATCGATCATCGATCGACAATATTAGCCGATGAAATACAATCTGAAATTTCATCAATGTCAGATGGTTTGGGTAATTTCGAACGATTGCAACAATTAGCGCAATTACCAATTATTACACTTTCGAAAAATGTTAGAGCACAGGTACCACATTTACTTAAAAATTACTTTTTTAATTTTTTAATCAAAATTGTAAATTATTTTGGAATTTATATTAATTATTAAATGCGTTTAACAAAACGATGTATAGTTAGAATTTGTATCGTAAAAAAGAAAAGTAAAAGACATTTTAGAAATTATGAAAATTATTTTAAAATGAAATTACATCAAAAAATTTTTGAACATCGAACTTTAAGCGATAATGTTGTTTAGTCTAATGATATGATTATTTCTTAATTTGAAAATGTTTACTAGAAGTAGAAAAAAATAATTAGTAGTTTGTAATTTATTTTGTCAAAAAAAGAAAAAGTTAGAAATGATATTTAAATTACAAAATTTAGGCAATAATTTATAATACCACCTAAAAATTCTAATAATAATTTGTAAAGAAAAAAAAAATAATTCACCATAAATGCTAGTAAAATTTAATAGCAATCAAATGCAATGAAAATAAAATTATATTTTATAAGAAATTAATTAAATTTTAAAAAGAAACTATCCCATAATATATGAAAATATTCAAAAATAAGTTAATTTAGAGTATTTTAGATTTGGAAATAATTTCAAACAAATATTTAAATATTTTCAAAATTAATATAGCAATGACAAAAAAATAAAACATTGTAATTTATATATATATTTTTTTAACTTAACAGCAAAAATAAAAAATTAAATCTTCAGGATTGGAAGTCAATTCCGACTTTTTCTTCAGCTATACCTTCTCCTTTATCATCATCATCATCACTGTCATCCTTATCATCATTATCATCATTATCAGCAACAACAACAGCAACAACATCATTCTATTCAATTCAACAACTGCTCAGTTTGCAATATTTACTTATCGCTTATGCGTTCATTTCATTTGCTTATTCCATTCTGCTAGTTTTGATGTTAATTTCATATGTTCAACTTATTCAGCTACAGTAATCCGAATAACCTTTCTGGCACATTTGATATTTTTATTGATTGATTAGAGTTAAAGATTATCATTATATGATAAATATGATTGATTGATTAGAGTTAAAGATTATCATTATATGATAAATATCATTGCATTCATTTATGCTACTTTAAAATTCATTATAAGAGCATGTGAAATGTTTATGATTTATTTGAATTTTAACAAAAAACTTATTATGTGATATGTAAATTTATTGTTTTATTTTTAATTTGTTAAATAATTAAATGAATATAAGTTTTCTGATTGAAGTTTGTTTTTTTTTTTTTGAGGATATCATTATGAAGGACGATAATAATTATGATTAGTTTCATCTTATAATCAAATTTAAATATGATCTGTTTTAATTTAAAATATTTCAGGTTATTTCGTCCAAAAATAAAAGGAAACGGATCAGAAAAACTTGATATTCAATTTTTATTTAAAATTGATATCCAATTTTTGAAATATCACTTTTATTCTTGCTCGCTAAATAATAAAACTTTCTGCATATTATCAATAATTACCCTAGCAATTTTCTTTTCCAATGTATAATTTTTATCAAATTATCGTTGAATAAGAAAAAGTTATTTCTAACAATTAAAGACTAAAATTAACTGATAGTTAAACTTCTTAGCTGAATGAAATTAATAAATGGTAATGACCCATTTTTTTTATTCAATTATTCTGCTAATTAATTTCTTTACTTATAAGGAAAAATAATTAGAGTTAAATAAATGTTTTATTTGTTAAATGTTAATATAAATGTTTAATTTTATCAGTTTTTTTTTTAAATTTATTTTTATTATTTTTGTTTCTTTTCAGTTGACAAAAGCAATTGAAGAAGCACTTATTTATAAATTAATGCATAGTTTAATTTAAATTTTGCATAATTTTTGAAATTTTATTTTGTGTTTTTTTCAGTTATATATAAATTCTAATTGTTCAAATTAATTTATCAATTAATAATATCAATTAATAAATGGAGAAAGTAATAAAGCAATAAAAATACTATTTCATATGATTGTTTTGAACAAATAAGCTATTACTAATGCTAAAACAATAATCATAAACAATTTGATAGAATTTTATTTGAAATTTTCATTTTGTTTCGGTTTGAGTTTTGATTTACTTTAAAAAAGATATAAACTAATTCATATTGAACAAAATGTTATTTCTATTATTGCAATTTACTTTTGAAAAGAATTTTTTTTTTGTTGATTTGATTTATTTTATGAAAAATGAGTGTTAAAATTAAGCCATTTTCTTTTGAATTTGATTTAATCTTTACTTTAAATTGAAAATTATTTGAGATATTCAATAGCTTTTTTTTTTTTTTTCAAATACAATTTATTTTCTTCCTTGTAATTCATTTATTTTCAATAAAAACGAAATCACAGGAAATGAATAAACTGTAACAAAATGTTTAGCAAATATTTTTTGCTGCATTTAATACATTTTGATTTTTGATTCTTATGTGTTACTTCTTAATGATATAAATTTTTTAAAATAAGTTACAAATAATTTTTCAGAGTAATATTTACTATAAGCTTACAATTAATTATAATTAATTTTTTTTTTAAAAAAAAATTAAATTCCTTGTTTTCTATAAATAATTTCCCTGAAAGTCTTTGTTAGAGTATAAAAGTGATTTGATAAGGTACAAAAGAAGGAATTTCCACACTCTCAAAGGAAGTGAAAATGAAATCTCATTTTGACTTCCTTTCAGTGTCATAGCAGCACTAATTGAAATTTTATTATAATTGTAGAAATCAGATAAATCTCACAACTTTAGCCTTTATTTTATTTTTTTGACAGTTTCCGTCAAATGTGCAAGTGCTAACTTCCGCCACAAATAACTCAAATAATTATTAGTGAAATAATAAACAACAAAAAATTGTCAGTAAATGAAATGATTATTCATTATGCTTTAATTATTTAAAATTTATTTTGCTTTGTTTACAATTTCTATCAAACTAGAAAAGAATTAATTGACAAAAAAAAAATACTTTTTTGGTATTTCTAAATTAATCTTTATTTTTTTTTTTTTAAGAAAACTAACCAAAAAATAAATGTTAGTGAAATCATTCAAATTCATTTGATCAAGTTGACAAACACTTTTTACAAAATGATAAATTAAGAAAGAAAAAGAAATATTTTTTTTATTTGATTTTGAAAATTTTTCAGCTCAGCATAAAACTTATACTCTAATAATAAAAAATACAACTGAAATTTAGAAGTATTTTAGTTTTTACTTTATGAAAAAAAAAATCCTCTTTTCTTTATTTATTTATATGCAGAAATTATTAATTTCAATATATACAATGCAATCTATTATAGACAGAAAAAGTTTTAAATTTTGAAAAAGATTAAAATATTTACGGATTAAATCGATTAGAATTGAAAAAATTTTATGCATATGAAAAGTATATTAATAAAAAATAGTTGTTTCTTTCATAAGGCATATCACAAGTGACAATCTGTTGTTTGGAAAAAATTTTTGTGCAAAACGGTTCACAAAATCACTAATATCACAAATTTGAATAATATATATTATTTAAGGAATATGAAATTTTAATTAAAATATAATTTCTGATTTTTGAAATCAATAACAGATAATTTGTTTTCAAATAAAAATAAATTATTTTTGACATTCCAGAATATTTATATTCTAATTTACCAATTTAAATTAATGTAAAAGAAAAAGAGGAGAAGAACATTTAATTTGATCGTAGATAAAAAATTTTTTTCTTTGATATTTTCTTTGTTTTGTGGATTTTATTAAACTTTAAAAAGTTTTTTCCACTTTTTATTCTATTCATATTTCAGCTATTAATTTTCTTTTGACACTGATTTTTGAATATTAGTTGAAAAAATGTTTTGTCATCGTTTTTTTTTCAAATATAAAATAAACTTTTTAATAAACTTTTAAAAACTTTCATTAAAAAACAAAAAAAAAAAGAAACGAAAAGAAAAAAGAATTTTCTTTTCTTTTTCGAATAGATAAGTTTGTATGCTTCAACATTTAGTAAACAACTTCGAAAAAATGACAAGGAATTTATAATTCACTTTTATTATCATTCTCACTCAATTCTCATTCAATGCTTCAAATGAAGAGCACAAATCTGAATGTAATTTTTTACTTACAAATGAGAACAACAAAAAAAATTTCATATCAAAATGAAATTTAACCAAATAAAACTTTTAATTTCTAACAATTTTTTTTTTTAGATTTAATATTAAACAGAAATGAATGAAATAAACAATTCAAAAGATTATTTAAATTTTTTTTTTTAGCTTTTCGTTTTAATTTGAATAAATTTTTTTATTTGATTTTTTGATTCAATAAAAAAATTATCAAAATTCATTAATAATATGAAATTTTTGAGTTTGTTAGGAATGTATATATGCATGTATGATATGTAGGGTAAGAAGAAATTAAATATGATGAATTAGTGATAAAGTTTGAATATATCAGTAGGTAACCTGTTTACTTACTTATCTATTGCCTGTTTAAGAGCTGATATGGAATTTGCTGATTTAGCTTGAAGACTTTTACAATGAGACTATTTCCGTTTTCATCTTTTCTGCCTAAGAAAAAACTTTTCCCGAAGGCAAATTGAGGAATGACTACGTCCGTAATAGTATTAGTTCTCATTCCTTTTCAATTTAATTGAAAAACTTTTGTTTCGCTCCTTTTTTTATCTTTTTTTTTTACTTTCAGTCAACTTTCTTTTATATAATTCGCTCTACCAATAAGTCATTCATGTCGTTTTAATAAATATTAACTTATTTAGATAAAAAAAAAAAACGAAAGCTTATTAAAAAAAAAAAACTCAATCTTCATTTTTTTTTCAGTAATTTTTTATTTTTTTATTTTTTCTAATGATAAAAATAAAATTGAAAATAGAAGCAAAGCTATTCATTTTCAAGCAAAAAACGAAAAAGAATTTCATTTTTTGTTTAATAATCTGAGAAATAGGCGCAATTCGTCAAATAGATAATCGTATTTTTTTCTTTTTTTTTATATCAGATAAAAAAAAAATCGTAATTTTTGATAATTTCGAATGATTCTAATTTAATTTTAATACGAAATTTCAACACTCATTCAACATTTTCAATATTACATTGACAATCAAAAAAAGATGAAATTGCAATTTTAAAAATTTTTAATAATTATTCATTGATTTAATGTCAAAAAATAAAAAAACAAAAATAACAGACACACAACTACCGGATGTATTTGATTATATCACATATCAAAAATTTAAGTAATACATAAGTGAAATTAAATTACTTATTTCATTTCCTTGGTACCTCTGTTCTATGGTTATTTTACAGATAGCGCTAACTAGCATGGCGCTAATAGTATGGCACTCTAAGCGCTTTACAGCAACTGAGCTAAACTTAACTTTATAATTATTTAGCAATGATTAATTATCTTTTATATCACCTATGATTGACATCGAAGTGTTATGTATCGAGAAAGATATACATCCAGCGTCACAGTTGTTTTATGTTTCTATTTGCGTCATTTAAATTATAAATTTTACCATCTGCAACTTGGCCAATGATATAAATTACCATCTGAAATAAATAATTTTCAAAATTTCTAAAGTGTCGAGCAAAAAAAAAAAAAAAAAAATTAAATTTTAAATAGTCAATTATTTAGTATTATATGCTAAGAATTACAAACTTTTTCCCATTTTAATAGTTACTTATTCATGCAAAATGCTAATTACTGCTTGTTGTTAAATTAGTTTAGCCTTAGGTACTAAGTAAATCGTTTCATTTGCAGTTTTATGCGCAACCAGTATAATTACCGCCTAAGGTTTAGGAAGATCAAATACAAATGCATTATTATCATGTGCCATTTTCAAAAATATCACTATGACATTCCAAATTTTCACTTTTTTTCCTTTTGAGTTAATCAATAAATTAAGTTCAGAAAAAAGTTTGATTTTTCATTTTATATATTAAAAATATATGATCAAATTTTGTTTTTGTTATTTTGAAAATGGAAATAGAATTTGTTCTTTCTCACTTGGGTTAATAGTTCAAGAACGTTACTTCTAAAAACTTCTTCTAAACTAGGATTAAAATAATACTAAATCATCTTGAAGTTTGACCAAAATGATTAATGACAAATTTAGCGAAATAACTGACAATCAATAAGCATTACGGCAACGAATTTTAAAATTTCATTGATTTCGGTCTCAGCAAAAGAAGAAAAAAAAAGGGAAAAAAAAATCTGTGAAATTTTGTTAAATCTTTCCTACTCTTCACTTATATCTATGTATATTCTTACCATTTCATATCATAGTGATAAAACCATGTCTGCAATGCTAAGTATACAAATTAATTAGACAGTAAAATTATCAAAATGGTTAGTTAAATTTGGACTTAATTTTAGATATTTGTTTGTAAAAATGTAAGAAATAGAACCAACTGATGAAGTAGCAGGAAAAAAAAATTTTTTTCCGAATAACTTCGGGGAAAAAACCCCCGAGAATAGCTCAAAACTAATGCAAAACTTTGAAGAGAAAAAAATTTAACGAAATTTTGTTAATAATCAACAAGAAAATGAAGGGGAAGAAATTGTTAAAAGTGGAGGAGGAGGAGGAGAAGGCGGAAGAGGAGGTTGGCGCAATTGGAAAAGGCGGAGACAATGGTAAACAGATACCAAAAGCATCATTAGCGCTAAATAGCCTGAACGGCTAACATTATTGCCTCAGGCTGGTATCTGTTCTTTGGTATCACAGTCAATTAAGCTATTATTATCACTGCTGTTGTTTGCTGTTCTCGAGTCTCGATTATACGATCATTTTGAGTGCTGTGCTCTTGATTAGGTCATTGTTGGTACTATGTACCCATCAGGTCATTGCTCGTGCTAAGCACTTAATATTAGATCCCAATTAGGTCGTTATTGAACTCAATATTAGCAACATGTGATTAGATTATCATTATTAAATTACCACTGATATCATATATTCTGATATGTTATCATTGATATTATCAGATTGCTCAATTTCTTTTTCCAATTTTCATTTTCAAATTATTGTAAAAAAAAAAAGATTTTCGCATAAATAAAATAAATATTATAATGTTGAAATTTTCTCTTAAAAAAGCATTGTCTATGATTCAGTTTTTATAAAAATAAAATTTGAAATGATATGAAATTTCATTTTGCTAACAAATTTTAACAAATAAATTAAAGTTTATTTGTTAGTATATGAAATGAATTAAAGGAGAAAGAAGCATAGAAAATATAATTTTCATTTGAAAAGCAATCATTTCGATTATTTTACTAATCCTTACTAATTAAATAGTTAAATGATAGTGATAGCAAAAGTTTAAACAAAATCACTAATGCTACATATTTTCTTTTAATCTTATAAACAAAATATGGCATAACATGAAGCATTTATTTATTTATTTACTTATTTCTTTTTTTTTACAAAGCAAAATACTTCAAAATGTTTTTTTTTCCTCCATTCTTTCCTTACTTATATATTCAATTAAACATTATTCTATTAAAATTTGTGATTTAAAATTTTCCTCTTCTGTAATTTACTTTCCTTAGTTTTTTTGTTTTCTTTTCTTTTTTTTTGGGTGCAAAAAGTTTAAAAAAAAATGTATGAATGAAGGGAAAATGATTAGTGTTACTCATTGCAATCTTTTTTTTTCATCTTTATGATGCATTTCAAATATCAAATATTCCAATTTTTTTTTCCCAACATCCTTTTTTAAAGATAAACAACTTTATTGAACTTAAAGCTCTTTAAATTTCTTTCATCCATTAAAACATTCAAATGGTTGCTTCAATCATAAATGATAGCTTAACTTTCTTTAATTGTGGAAAAGTTGAAATATTAAATTAATATACGATTAATTTGATATTTCAATTTGATATTGAATATTTCGATTAATTTAATATTACAATTCTAATTACTAATCTCTCATTTTGTTTAAATTCATAATTATTATACATTTCACATAAATATTTTTATCATTTGCTTATTATCTTATCTAATTAATGTATTTCAAATTTTTTTTTACAATCTGTAACTTTTATTACTCAACAACGAAACATTTACTTATCAGTGATAGTGATTAAAGTTTATGTCTATATTTATCGTTTAGAGTAATTTTAGATATAAAAAAATTTTTCGACATGTAAAATAATTATTGCATAAAGTAGTAAAAGTAAAAAAAAAATATTTCCTAGTGAATAACTTATCATTTTTGTCAATTATTATTGTTAAGTTTCTTTTTTTTTTTACATTACTGATTTTTCTAAATTTTACAATGAAATATTAGTAACTCAGTGATATCAATAAATTAAATTAAATTAAAAAAAAAGAAAAAGGAAGAATCAATAAAAGGAATATTTTCTTTTATTGATTAATTTGACAATTTTGATAGATTTGTTTTTTTTTTCTTTTTTGATCGATCGATGTATTTTTCAGATACGATTAGCAGTTCTATCATCAAATGATCTGCTAGAAAGTTTAAATCGATTGCTTTGCAAACTTTTGCTGAAATTACATTTCAACAAAAGCAAAAAATTATTAATAATTTATGAAATATTTCAAATTTGTGAAATAATTTTAATTTTTTTTCTTTTTTAGTTAAAATTGACGCATTTATTGATTTTCAAAAATTTGTTAAAGTGCTAAAATTGAACAAAATAATTTGTGAAATAAAAAGCTAAACGTACTGTTCGCAAGGAAATTCTTGATGAGCAGCCGAACGACAGTATCATGTGTTGATGTCAATGATATTATGTCTGCATTTGGTGATTGGACATTAAGGCTTGATGTAAAGGTAACAAATATTTATAATCATCTACCATTGTTCTAATAAAATTTCATTTTTTTATTTTTTAAAAAATTTAAAAAAAAAACTGAAATTGAAGTGTATAATTTATGATTTGAGGGGTAAATCAAATTAATAATAAGCATTTTAAAGCATAAAATCATTCAAAACTAGCATAAAATTAGATAATAATAATTAAAGATTTAAAAAAAAAAAACATTTCAATATTATCTAAAAAATATTTCTAAATTCATCTCTGTTTCATATTTTTTGTTAATTTACCTCTTTTCATCGTATTTAAAATTAATTCCTGTGTTAATTAATTTCAAAAAAATGAAAAATGAAGCAGTGAGGCTAATAAATCCATAAGCGAATGGTGTTATCAAATCAATTTAGCATCAACTGATTGAATTTAAATTTGTCAAAATTCTCTTTTGGTGTGTAAATGAAAGAAAGTGAAACGCTTATAATAAATGTAAAATTTCAATTTAAATATATTCCATCCATTTTCTTAAAAGCAATTTATAAATTCAAAATTTGTTTATCATTTTTTGCATTTAAATTAAAATTAATTAATGGATAATTATAGTATTTTGCATTTAAGCATAAATTTATACGCAATTTTTTCAAATGTTTTTCCACTTTTTTTTTTGCTTTAAAAATTTCAAAAGCTTTTTTATTTGTTTGTTTGTTTTTTTTCTGTTAATTTCTGATTACATGCAATGAGGCATCATTATTTTTATGCATAAATAACTGAAGCGTAAACAATAAGGCAAACAAATTTATCATACTCAAAAAAAAAATCTTTTCATATTTAAAAATTTTTTTTTTCAAATTTTTACCTGCTTTCGTAGCATTTTATTAATATATATTAATCTTAGAAGTGCATTCATCTATTTTTTTTATTCTTATCCTTAAAATATATTTCTCTCATATAACTTCAATTAATCTTTCTTAAAAGATCTTTTCAAAGTAAAACTAAAGAAAAGAAAACTTAAATTTAATATATTAAGCACTAGATATGAATGGTATTGAATTTATAAAAATTTTGTTTCAAAAAATGATTTAAATTTCATTCTAACACTTTTTGATATTAATTATTCATTAATGCTCTTGTTATTATAACTTTGATTATTTGCTAAAAACTAAACAAAATTTTTTTGATTTTTTAACTTTAAATTATGTAAGCTAGAAAAACAGAAAAAAAAACGAAAACTAAAAAATGATGCATTAATTAATTTTTATAATACCTTGAGAGAAAAAAAAGAAATCTTTTTGAAAAATAAGTGTTTCTATCCTTTTTTTTTTTTTTAATTTCTTAGCAACATCTTTTTCAAAAATTCATTTGAATATCATATGTAAAGTTAATGTAATTTGATGTCTCGCTAGAATTATTATTTTTAAAATTTCATTTTTTTTTTTAATTTTCATCAATTTGTTGAAAAAAAAGATTTGCTCAAATAATGATTATAATCGACAAAAAGCAAATGTTTATATAAACAAATGATAAACAATTGAAAAATAAATAAATAAATATGAATGCGAGAAATGTGAATTTTAACAAAATTTCTCTTTTTGCTATTTTTTTTTAATTTTATCATTGAAAAATAGTACACTCATATCATTCGCTCAAAAAAATATATTTGAAAAGGAAACTGCAAGTTAATTAACACTTTAAAAAGGAAAAAAAAGACTTAAAAGAGTTAATTTAAGTAACATAGTAGCTAGGAAGAGAGGTTGAAATGAGTTAATGATGATTTAAAGAATGTAAAAATGATTGGTATAATTAGTTTTTTTTTTTTCTTCCTTCTTTTAAAAACAAAAAAAAATAATTATTGTAATTACTAGGTGAAGTATAAGTAATATTTTTAAATAGTTCTTGAGAACTAATTTTAAAAAGAAAAAAGGAAATGCAAATATGAAAGAAATTAGAATATCTCGATATCTCGAGAAAATTTGAAAAACAAAATAAAAGAAAAAAAGGCAAAACTAAAATTTCAAATTATCATTTTCGCTTTTTTTAACCTTTAATTATTGAAACTTTTTTTTTTTAGAACAAAAGTTCAATTTTTTTCATTAATTATCAGTCATTCATACCAAACTTCCTCTTTTTTTATTATTTAAATTGCAATTATATTCAATTTTTTTTTTCAATAAGTTAATATTTAGTAATGACATTATCATAGATCCATTTAAAATTTAGTTCAAAAATTTAATAATTAATGAACAAAAAGTCAAACTTTATTTTAAAAATGATTGGTATAATTATCGGTCTTTTTTTTTGAATGATATCATTATTAAATTATTTTACAAAAAAAGTATTTAACTGTTTTAATATTTAACACTATTACTATTTTAATTAAAAAAATATTTAATATTTAACAAATTTTTCAATAAATATTAGACGATTGTTATGCTTCTTCACAATTTCAGGTTAAAAGTTAAAAATTGAAGTAAAATAAATTTTTAAAAATATGCTATCATTGAGTTTTATCTCTTTTACATGTAATTAAGTTTATAAAATTTGAATGATATATGCTCAATCTTTGAAAGTCATATGTCAACTTTTGTTTGTTTATTTTTTTATTATATAGAATGGTTATTTGAAGTTTATAAGTAATATTCATAAAAAATAGTTTACTTGAAATTGAAGTGGAATTCTTTTTCTTTCTTTTTTTTTTGTGAAATTTTCCATCCTTCTATTTTGAATTCTTTTCATTTTCACATTTTCATTCATCCAACTTTAAATATTTATTTCTATTGAAGCATACCTCCTCTAAATGTGAATAATTTATATTTTTATAAATATAAATAATACATAATTTCTCATAAATTTCATATTTTTTCTCTTATTGCCACATTTTTTTGCAATTTTTTACAAAAAAAAAAAACACAAAATGAAACTTTAAAAAACCAAAAAAAATATATATTTTTTTTAGAAATTTTGCTATTAAATATAAAAATGTACCATAATTTCATTTGGATGAAATAAAAAAAAAAAAATAAAAAAAAAACACTCAAAATTTTGACTTTTTAAATCCTGAAATTATTACTTGATAAAAATGAAAAGTTTTAAATTACAAATTTCATAGAAGAATTTTTTTTTCTTTTTTTTAATAGCAAATCTTATTTTGAAGTTCATTTTTGATATCAAATTTACAATTTCATCTTTCTAAAATTTTAACATTATTGATGTTTGCATTATTCTCTTTTTGTCATAAATAAACATTCATTCTATTTCCCTAGTGAATTCACTTTTTTCCCTTTTTAAGGCCAAAAATGCCAGCTTTTTGTGTCAACTTTTCAGGCTTGCAATAGTGTTTGGCCCCAGTATTTGAAAGATTTTGAATTCTAACTTGGCTACTTTAGTAAAATGCAACCCATTAATGTTGAATAATAATGATGACAGAGTTAAAAAATAGACTTTAAAAAAAATGAACAATTGAAGTTTTTCTTTTTTTTAAAAAAAATGATTTCTCTAAGGAGAAAAGTGCAAATACATTTTAGTTTTATTCTTTGAAAAATTTTTCTTTTTATTTTTTTAATCCAACAAATATTTTAATTTTTTAAGTCAATTTAACCTAATTAATTACAATTATTTGTTTTGTGCATATTATTCATATTCATATTCATTTATCGTTCAAAATTTACACAATCAAATCGTTCAACTATGAAATTCGTTTTTTTTTTTTCGTTTAGTTCATTTAAAGTTTAAACTAACTTTTTTTTTTTCAAGCTCATTAGCATAGAATGATAATTGGAGTTTCATAATGGTTGTCACTATAGTTGTTGACAAAATCTTTTCTTTCTTTCTTCTTTTTTAACTAGAAGTGATGATAAGTTAAAAAATCAAATTCATCATTTTTTTTTTGTTTTTCTCCCTCTCTCCCTCTCTCTCTCTCTCTCTCTTTCCTTAGAAAAAATAAAACAAATCATTGAATATTTTCAAAAAAAAAAAGAAAGGTCTAAAATAAGCTGTTTTTATACTTCAATCTGATTTGTTTTTCTCCTTTCCCAAGAGGTTGCAGTAAATTGTCGTAAATCGATGATGTAAAAAACAACTTCAACTATTTATTTTAATCGGTCATTTAAATTTTATTAAAAAAAAACAGAAAAGTAAACTGAAAATGAACAATTTATTCATATATTTTTTTTTACATTTTGATAATAACTAAAAAAAATTATTCTTTAAATAATCTTTGTATTAAAGAAAATAAAATTATTAACAAACGTTAAAAAAAAACAAATAATTTTTGAGATTTTTGATATTTTCTTCTTTTAAATCTAAAAAAATAAAAATAAAATGTGGAATTTTTTTTACAAATTCAAAAAAAAAACGAAATAATTAACTTTGAAAATTTTTTTTTATATATCAAATATTATTAAATAATTTTTTTTGACTGCTTTTTTTTTTAGTTAATTTAATTTATAAAAATGAGAAAGCATTTTATTAAGTTCAAATAGAGTTTCATTATTTCAATAAGTGAATGCAATATGAGTATTTCAAATAGAACTTTGATGCTTTTTAAAGGACAAATTCATTCATTCATTCGTTGTTTTGTTTTTTTTTTCTAAAAAAGAAATATTCAAATGATATATTTAAAGTGATCTCTTCAGTATTATCAAAAGAAACAAAATGAAACAGAAAGAAAGAAGAGAGAAAGAGAGAGAGAGAGACAAAGAGAAGGAAAGAAAAAGAAAAAATTCTGGAAAAAATATTTAATATATTTTTTTATATTTAATTTAATTTTTTTTATAAGAAAATTATTCCTATGAAATTAGAGCATTTAATGATAGGAAACTCAATTCCTGTTGACTTTCTATAAAAGAAAGATAAAGAAATATTACTACCGGAAATGAATCGGTTCAGGTTTGCTACCCATCCGATACTGATTTTATAGTTTCATAATTTCAGGATTACAATATTTTGAGTTGAATACATTGCAATCCTAAAATTAACTGATAAAATGGATTTCAAGAATGCGTTTTTTTCCTTAAAAGGAAAAAAACGCATTTAAATGCAATTGCCGCTTCTTTGTTCTGAACAGAAAATTTTCCATTGTTTTGATCATAAGCAATTATAAATTAGATTGTAAATTCTATTGAACAAATTTTACAGAATATAAAATTAGTATTCAAGTATTAATATAAAATTAATATTCAATTAGTAACTTTGTGACAATTTTATTAAATTAAATAAATCTAATTAAAACTGAACTTAAAAGTGAATTTTAAATAAATTTTATTAGTGGAAGAATCATAGAAAAAAAATAGGAATAAATAATTAAAAAAAATTTAGAAAAATGTTTTCATAAATAATTTAATTCATTTATTATATAACATTTTAAATTTACGATAAATAATATTGATAACATAAAATATATAATTATATTCAAATTTTTAGGTCTTTTATTCTGCTCTTTATGCGACAATATTTGTTGTTGGATTGATCGGTAATGGTTTACTGATTGGAAGTTTAGCAAAACGGAAACGAATTTCAGTTCCGAATATATTTCTCATTAATTTAGCTATTTCCGATTTGGTTAGTGCTTCGTTCATTTTTATGCATTATATTTTAAAAAGCAAAATTGCAAAATTTTATCTTTTTTTTCTTTATTTAAAAAAAAAGAAAAAAATAATTTTAATAATATTTACCAATATGCGAAATAATTTTCCATAATTTCTTTTACAACTATATAAAATGATTTTGCTAATTTCCACAACAATTATAAAATTATTTCGATAAGTAATTTTAACATTTTTTTTTAATTGAAATGCAAAATAATTTTAAGTAACTTTTTTACAGCAATGTAAAATAAGTTTGATAATTCTTGTAAACTTTAGAAGTTCGTTTTTTTATGTACAATATTTGGCATAAATTTGATATTTTTTTTATTGCAAAAAAAAAAAAAACTTATAAATTCTTGCTAAAATGATTTGAAAAGTTTAGTGTAACTTTTGTTTATTAAAAATAATTTTTTTTTTCGACAAAGATTTAACAAGAATTTGTCAAATTTTTAATGTTATAAAAAATCTTTTCCTCTCTTCTTTTTCATTAAATTTCATTAAGTACTGCTTTTTTTTCGTTTTTTGATCTACTACAATGAATTTTTAATTCTTTTCATCGAAGTTATTGATTTATTTTTCTCTTTGTTTTATTATCTAAGTCATATTTTATATTTTAATAAAATTTGACAATTGTGACATTAAAAGAAGGCGCAAAATGCATGGCGCATTTTGACATTGACAACAACAGCCAGGAATAGTTAAGTATTCAATTTAAAGGATTCTCAATATCTCTATCACTATGCAAAGGGAGCAAGTGGCACTTGTTGAAATCAATAAAATTTAATAGAAAATAGATGCAGATTGGCTATTTCAATGATTTTGAGTACATTTGAGTTACTAAATAAGGAATTGATGTCATTTTCAATGATTATTTAAAATGTTGTTGATCAGATGAAATTTAAAAAAAAAAAAGAAAAACGATTGTCAAAGGGATCTGTGATAATTTATCATTGAAAAAAGAATCAACGATTAATCAATGATAATCAAAAAATATAAATTTTTATGAAACATTTCAAAAAAAGATGCCGATAATATGAAATTTGAGGAATAGGAAAATATTAAGAAAATAAATTGACTGAAAGTTTTTTCAGAAATCTTTTTTTTTTCGTTTTTCCGTTTTTTTTTTGACAGTGAAAGAAAAAAAGTGAAAAATCTACCAAAAGAGTTTTTTTTTTTTCTCATCAAGTCAATAGCAAAATATAAAAGTTATTGAAAAAAACTTTCACAAATGTTACTTTCATCCTTAATTTTTTCTTTTCCTTTAAAAAAAAAAAACATAAAAGTGTAATGTGATATGTTATCATTTTCAATGATTTTTAGAAAATTTTAATTTATCTTTTTTTCAATGATTTTAAAAAATTTTTAATTTTTTATTAGAAAGAAATTTTTTTCCAACAAAAATTTTTTCGCAATTTCTTGATTTGATGTATTATTTTTAAATATGAAATGATTGAATTAATACTTTCAATTTAGGCATGATTTTATTGTTACTTTTATTCACTTCCAATAATTTAATTTTTAATAATGAATAAATCATTTGAAATGAATACTTGCGCAATTCTGATCTAATTTAAAAGTGATGATACATTTATTTCGAATGAAAACAAATGTGACAGTGGATTATGTCATTCAATTACTTTTTCAAATTAAGTTAGAGTAAAAATGATAACTGACGCAAAAAAATATTTTCTTCTCATTGCTTTAAGGAATTTTTTAAAAACTAAATGCTATTTTTTTAAAATGAAAAAGAATTGCTTTTCTTTTATCAAGCAAATTTACCACTCAATTATTATGCTAATTAGTATATAACATTAAAAAACAAAGTACTATTAGCCAAGTTTCTCACAGAGTAATAACAGAGTAATGTTTTCCATTTCAATTTTTTAAATTTAAAAAAAAGAAAGTTTAAAAATTTTTTTAATGTAATTAAAATTATTCATAGTTGAGAAATTAATTCAAAAGAAAAATAGAAAATTTTTTTTATTTTGAAATATAACAAAAAATGTAACAAATTGAATTGCTTTATCAAATATTACTTTACCTGTTCTATTTATAAATTTACAATAAAAAAAAAAATGAAAATGAAAAGAAAAAAGAATTTTATATTTTCCATAACTCATCAAAATTATTTTTCTCAATTAGTAGTTAGCTTATTATGTAATGCTAAACTGTTATTTAAAAAAATTAGCTAAAATTAAAGATCCTAAAATCTCTTTCGCACTAATTGTTAAAATATGAATGTAATTTAGAAGTTAGAAACTATCAAAATTTCAGTATTACTTATAAAAAATTAAATCACTGATTATTTCTAATGTAAATTAAAGGAGTGAAATATTAGCATAATTTTTGTTTTATAAATCTAAGCAATAACTGAATGGCTTATTAATTTAATCAACTATGTCGTTTCATTTCATTAATTATTTAACTGGTCAATTATGCATCGATATTTATTGCCTCATTACTTAGTTCCGGAACACCGGAATACATTTCCGCATTTGTTTCCGTTTTTGCTATGTTGCACTTTGTATATTTAGAAAGTACTTTTTCTTTCGATATTTGATACAATTATTAGAATTTCATATGCAAATAGTAGAACTAATAATCTGATATTTAAACGACGATTTCTGGTAAAATTGTTCTGAAAACTATGAAAAAGTTTGAATAAAAATTGAGCTTTAAGTCTGCCTTAATTAATTATAACTTTAAAAAATAGTTCTAATGAAATTATTCTAATGAAATTGGAATAATTTAAATTTTTGACAAAGTTTTTTTTTGTAGTTTAAAATATTGAATCATTATGGATAATTAGCTGCTAAAAGATACTATAAAAAAATATTTTCAATAATTCAATAACTGATAGCAAATTTCATTTTAGTGTAAATTTTAAACAAAATAAAAAAAACAGATTTGATTGGTTTACTTAGTTATTGAAGTGTGAAAGTAAGTTATTTTGTCCAACTGTTTGCTCAATTTTTAATAATAGAAATAAATTTGTTATAAATTATTGAAAAGAAAAAAAAAATTGCAAGTAATTATGATTACTGTCTTTAGCTATGAATAAGCATATATCAAATATAACTGATAAAGTTTGATCAAAATGAAGCAATAAGTAAGTGATAAGGTTGATAAAAGAAAGATGTGGGATGGTGATGAGATTGATAAAAGAAAGATGTGGGATGGTGATAAGATTGATAAGAGAATGAATGTGATCAAAAGTGAAAAACTTTGTGATAATTTTCGCTTATTGATTATTATTATTAAATTGCAGTAATTGTAATTCGAAATCAATAAATCAGATGATAACATTAATCTTTGAGCTAAAATTCATTGACTTTACATATTTTCAAAGGAATTTTTTATTGAATATAAGATATAAAAGAAATCTTTCTATTCTCAAAAAGAGGAAATGCTTTTGAATTTTTAATGATTAATTTTATTTGAAAATTTAGTGCTAACTTTACATTTTTTTTCCTCATATTATTTTTCCCAATGGAGTAATCATATTTGCTTAAACAATATGACAACAATTGATTATGACTGATAATGATGATAATACGAAACTTTTAAGTTATCCTAATAAATGTAGAATTGATGAATTGTCCCTTCTTTTTTTTCCTTTTCTTTTTTAAATTTTGTTTAGAGAAATATCGTCGAACTTTTCAAACTAAAATAATTGTCAAATTTTTGCATGACATTAAATAATTTTGAACATTTGCAAGAATTTCAAATATATATGAAATATTAAAAATAGTAAAAAGTTACTTACGATTATCAAATTTTCAATTCAGATTAATGTTTATGTTTAGTTATTATTGCTTGAATATCAGATCATAGTACTAAATTAAAGGAAAACAATGGAACAAGTTTAAATGCTGAAGTTTACAAAATTTTAATAATGAAACAAGTCTAAAAATATTGCTAACCAGAATTCCATGTAGTCTAAACTGTTAGTAACTTAGCCTGAAATTACTAGCAGTAAGTTTATTTGTACTTAAGTAATAAATAAATTCAATGCAGAAATTAATTTAATTAGTAGCAAAACATTTGACTAAGTTTCAGAACTATCTTACCTTAATTCGTAAATTTTTTATCTTTTTTGAAAATTTAATACAAAAGGAAAATGCCCGCAGTTCGATTTACAAAAAAAAAAAAAAGAAAAAGAGCAACTGATCAGTTAATTTTTTTTTTAATTTTTGTTAGCATGATATTATTACTGAGTGCAAAAGTAAAAGTCTATGTGCTGCGTGAGTAGAAAACGTGTGCTTATGACGTGCGTGATACATGATATCCATACTTATATATGTGCTTTTTCCAGAATGCAATCTATTAAGTAAACTAAATAAATTGTTATTTTCTATTAACAATTATTGATGAAATTAAATTCCATATAAAATATTTGAATTACTTCAGAAACAAACATGTATTTCTGTATTTAATTACTTTTATTTACAGTTATTATGTATAACAGCTCTTCCAATAACTCCAGTGTTAGCATTCGTGAAACGTTGGTTGTTTGGTTCATTGTTATGCAAATTAGTTCCATTATGCCAAGGAATTTCGGGCAAGTTATTTTGCAATTTTTTTTTTTTGCTTATTATTTCTTAGAATTGCAATACAAAATTTTCCGAATTTTACTGAACGTACGTGAAATTGAACATAGAAGTTACGTAGAAATTAAGCAAATAAACATTGATATTGCATTATTTAAAGTATCATTTCATTAGGATAAAAATAAAATTTTAAATTCTTACTTAATACTTAATTTCAATCACTTTTAATTACTGAATAAAAAAAATTTCAGTTTTAATTTCAAGTTATTGCTTATGTTTTATTGCGGTTGATCGATACCGAAGTATTGTGATGCCAACTCGAGAACCGTGGACAACATATCATGCTTATTCATTAATGGCCATTTCTTGGCTTACTTCAGCCACTGTCTCATCACCGCTTTTTGTTACTCAACGATTACAACCATTAGCGCTTGAAAATACAACACTTTGTGGTTATGTAAGTTAAATTAAGTGTAATTTTAAACAAAAAAAAATATATAAATTGTTAAAAAGTTTCAATTTTCATTAAAAATATAATTTTTTATCATTTATAATTGATTAATTTAAACAATACTTTATAAACTGGATATTAAAAAAAGAGAAATAAATAAAAATTTGTAAATAAAAGATAGCTTTATGTTATATTTTATTTCGGGCAATTTAATCAATTTGATCTGCGAATTTTCGAGAAAATAAATAAATAAATTGGCATCATTTGCCATTTTTTTTTCCTTTTTTTGTTGATTAGATCTATTTTTAGAAAGAAACTTAGAAAATTGCTCAATTTCCCAAACATATTGATTTTCAATAACTCAATTTGTAATCCTTATTTATTAAATGTTTGTTCAAATTTTGTAAATGATAGCCTTTAATTTGTAACTATTCAAATACGCTGATAACAACTGATAACAGAAATCAAATTAAAGCGTAAAATTTTTTCTTCAAAAATTCATCGATATATATCATTTTGGATATTCTTACAATATTAGCAATTTATAATCTTTTTTGACAATAACTATAATTAGATAAAATCATTTTCAGTGTTTATATTATCTGTTATCAAAGTTTATCACTCATTAAATCATACATTAAATTAAATAATTCATTGAATCACATAAAATAAAGCGAAATAATCTAAAAATTTAATCATTATTTAGATGAATGTAATTTATTTATTGCTTACAACAATCTGCAAAAGAAATAAAAAAAAATTTTTTTTTAAAGAATTCAAAAAATTGAACAATTTTTTTTTGGTTTATAGTTTTGTGGTGAATATAATTGGCCAGCAGATAATCGTATTAAATTATTTTATGGTTCTATGTTACTTATTTGTCAATACCTCATTCCAGTAACTATTATGACATTTTGCTACTGGAAAATTTTACAAAAGGTTTAGTTTTCGTGTTTAAATTTCATTTATTTTAAAAAATTATCTAAATTAAAATCGTTATTTGCAATTTTACTATCACTTTTAATCAATTTCAGATGTTCATTTTTTATTCACTATATATTATTTTGTTTATTTGTTTGTTTATTTTTTTCAATATTTATTTTGAATGACATAATGTAGCAGATAAATTGTTATTTTCATTTTTTTTATTTTTTTTTTTCAAATAAATTTTTAAATTGTTATAATTTTTATTAGCTGCTCTTCTTAGGTTCGTGCTGATTGGATTGTGGCCCAGCATTCGATGCTAACTGCAGCCCAGCAGGCTCAAACAGCTGTTCGAAAACGACGGGTAATGTATGTACTCATATTAATGGTTGTTGTATTCATGGCATCTTGGCTTCCCTTAACAATTGTTAATATTTTTCGTGATTTTGGAATAGGTAATTTCTTCTTTTTTTTTCTTAATTAACCTTAATAATTAATTTGATTAATTAGCTAACAGATTTTGTAATTTTCTTTTTCCCTTTTTTTTTTGGAGATGAATTATATTTCGAATGTTTCGTTAAAATTTTTGATAATTAAAATAAGATTAGATGAAAAATTTTTTAACCAATGCATGAAATAATTATCAGCTGTAAACGTTTGTAATTTGCAAAATAATCGAAAAAACGAAAAAAAAATTAAAAATTCAAGTAATTAAAATTTATTATAATCAATATAAATTCATTAACTGTTCCATTTCAATCATTTTAAATTAAATTTTCAAAATGCAAATAAAAAGGAGTGCTATGATCTTGTTTCAAATTTCTTTTTAAAATGATTTCTAAAATAATTACTTGAAAAAAAAAATGAAACTAAAGCATTTGAGAATAATAATGGAAAATTATTTCAAAATTATTTTTACATTTTTTAACAATTTTATAAATAAGAAAAAAAAGAAAGAAAACAAAGAATAGAAAAAATTTTTCTCATCGCTTCTTTATGCTTATTTTGATAAAAGTTTCTTTGTTTTTTTTTCAAAAAATATAAATCATAGAACAAAAACGAAGAGTTTTGATTTCTTTTCAATTTTTCAAATTTTTTTTTAAAAAAATGATTTTTAAAATAAATGCTAAAAAAATAAGCGAATTTATTGATTGATTTAAATTTAAATATGTAAAATTATTGCAGAAGCATTTTTGGATATACAAATGTACTTCAAATTGCTCAATGTTCATGCAATAGCAATGACTTCCATTGTTTGGAATCCATTATTATACTTTTGGATGAGTAAGGTTAGATTTTTGATTTAAAAAAAAAATCAAAGAAACGAGAAAAGAAAATCTTAAAATTCCTTTTTTCAAATTATTTACACTTCATTCTTCTTTCCCTCTCAAAATAGATCTTTTTTTTGACAAAAAAAGAAGAGAACGAAGAGAAAATTGATGAAAAATTCAAAAATAAAATTTAAAAATTGGTATTTATTAATGAAAAAGAAAAAAAAAGTAGGCAAAAGATTAGTTTAATGATAGTAAAATTTAATTTTTGAGGTCTTATATACGGTATGGGAAGAGTAATACGATATTCATTCAGTCAACCAATTGGAACTATTCCTCATTTATATGAAAAAGAAATGAATAATATTTATTTTTGTTTACAAACAATTTATGTTATATGATTAAAAGAAAAGAAAGAGAAAATAATAAAAAAAAGGAAGAAAGTTAATCAATTTTTTTTCCATTTTTCTTAATTTATATTTCCTTCATTCCTTCCTTCCTTTTTTTTCGTATTCATTTATTTTTATTTGTCCGTTATTGTTTTTTTTTTTTTTTAAAACTATTAAATGATCAATTTATGATATAAGCTATTAAAAAAATAATACAAATAAGTTTAAGTTAATTTTTTTAAATGAAATTATTTCTTACTTTCTTCTTATTATCATCGTCTCTTCCTCTCTCTTTTTTTTCTTAATTTTATTTTCATTTTAATCATTTTAATTGCTTATTTCATTCTCATCTTTTTTTTTTGCTTCGTATGTATTTTTAATTTTGATTCGTATAAATGTTTTTTTTTTTTTGCTTGCTTAAAGCATTAAATTTTTTTATTTTTTAATTCTTCAAATTATTTGTGAAAAAAAAAATAAATGTAAATTTCATTATTTGTGAAAAAAAAAATCAGTTTTATTTATTAATATATATTTTAATTTTTATGATTTAATAAAACTTTTTTTTTGATTTTTAAAATATTTTAATTTTTATGATTTAATAAAATGAAAGAAAAAAAAAGATTGGTTCTTTTAATTTCTATTTACATTTTTTAAACTATTTTTTAATTATTATGGAAAACGAATTGTTCCAAACGATTTGCAGCGTCATCGGCAAGCATTTAAGGAGGATATGATCGGTGCAGGTAATAATTATCGGCGAAACAACGATGTGAGATTGACAAAGCGTTTCGTTGTGACAAAAACGCCACAACCTGGCAATCTTTTATATAATCAAAATCATAGGCATTACAGGTATTTTTGTTTCTTTCTTTTTGTTTTGTGTTTTCTTTTTTTATTTACTTTTTTTTTTTTGCATATTTAAAAATGAAAAGATAACATTGTTGAGAGTTGTTATAATGTAATAATAATCTCAATGAAATACTAAAAAAGAAATTTATACATTTTCAAAAAAAAATATTTAATTTCTTTAAAGCTATTAACAATTGCAGCAGAATTTCTTTAATTTAAATACTCCTAAATGATTTGAAAAGTAAGAACTATGACAAAAAAAAAAGAACAAAAAGCAAAAATGCGCTTTCTCATATATCTTTAGATACTTGAAGCAACAATTTTCACTTCATGGTTAGAAGATATGTAAATCGATGATGGCTTAAGAAGAAGCTAAAAAAAGAAGCATTCAAAAATGAATTTCCAAAATTTGATAAATTTCACTATAATATTTCACTTGTAAATTTACGAAAGAAAAAAATAAAAGGAAGGACAAAGAAAAAAAAAAGGAAATCATCAAAAAATTTTTATTGTCATTTTAATTTCTAATTTTAAAATTGAAAAGCATTCACAACAATAGAAAGAGAAAGAGAGAGAGGGAGAGAGAGAGAGAAAAGAAAAATGAACTCTTCATTTAGTTAATAGTGAATTAACCATTTCAAGTTAACATTTTAAAAAGCCAACAATTTAATATTTAATGATAATCGCTGCTTGCACTTTATCGCATTTGCCATTTCAACAAATTCTATTACTCAGCCATTTTACATAAATTTGCAACAACAATTCGAAACAATGCAAATTCACTGTAATTATATCTCAAATAGACTAATTCAATTATTTCCTTCAGTTAAACGCTCTTTCAAGAAAAATCTATCTCATCCAACTCTTTGAATAGACCTCTCTCTTAAGTTCAATTTAAAAATAAAAAAAAAAAAAAGAGAGACAATGTTAAATATATCTATAAGTTCAATTAAACTTGAAAAAATTATTAGTTAAAATTTTTCTTTTTTTACTTTTTACTTGTTAATTAGTAACATATAAAAAATATCTCAGGAAATTTAACAAAATATGCTCAAATTTTTCAAATTAATTTTGAATTAATTTTTGCAAAATTTTTTGAAGCAACAATTTCTATTGATTGCTTTTAATCATTTTTTTTTTTTGTTTTAATTTCTATTAACATTTAAGCTTTGCTAAAATTAACTGCTAATTAACAATTAGCATCCTGAACATTCATTTAATTTTGAAAAAAAACAAAAACAAAAAGAAAATGAAACACTTCAGAATATGCCAATTTCAGACGCGGTACATTGACTGATCCGACATGTATCACTGCTGAAAGAGCTTTTGCGCAAATACATGCTAATTGCTTCCTTTTGGTACCATTATTACCGCTTTATCAAGCATCATTGAACCAGAAAATGCAATTAACGACGCGCATAAGTCGGCCAGATTAATACTAAACAAAAAAAAAAAAATAAAAAATAAAAAATAAGCTAATGTAGGCCTCAAATTATGGACAATTAATGAGAGGACAAAAAAAAAAGCCTGGAAGTCTAAAAAAGACTTCTTAATTGGAGCATGTCAAAAAAAAAAGCATTTTATAATAAGATCTTAAATATGCTCAATTTTATTAAATCTTTTTTTTGACCACTCAAATTTTGTTGTTTATTTATTTGCATTGCCTTGAAATAAATGAAGAAAATATAATTGAAATAAAGTTGTTTTTTTTTTTTTCTATTTGATGTTCAAAACGTTTGATATAAAAATGAATAGCACATCCAAAAAATTGCATCCATCTATGGCATTAACAAGTTATTTATTTATTTTTTTCACATGAAATTTAGCAGAATATATTATAACCATTTTAAATTAAGATTTTTGTTATTTTCAATTCTTAGATAGATTATTGATTGTTTTTTCTATCAGCTAATTTCAAATATTAACAAAAAGTAGTATCATTTAGGTTTACCTAAAATTTATGAAAATATTTCATATTATCATTTTAATTTATCTATTACATCGATCACCAAAATAGAACTTTTACAAATATTAATAATTTACTTATCTTTCAATCCTAATTTATCTTATTTCTTATTATTTCTCTTATTACATTCCTAATTATTACAATCTTTCATTTATCATTGCATAACATAAACCCTCTCTCAACTTTTGATAATTGAACAAAAAACATACACGATATGAAAGGTAAAAGTAACATTTTTGTTAAATTGAACAATTAAAATTGAAAAAGTTAAATGCTAAAAATCAAAATGCTAAAAACAAAACTTTTCAACAAAAAAAAAAAAAAAAAAAAGGTGTTGTTTTCTTTTCTTTCTTTTTCAAACAACACTTTCACATTTCTCTTCAAATATTGGTTTTATTTTAGAAAGAAAAAGAATGTTTTACAAAAAACATAATAAAATTCAATCGATGATTGATTGAAACATTTTTTTGTTGTAACCAAACGAATCATTTCTTCGCTTTCAAAAATAATTTCACTGTTTAATAGTTTTAAAACTATTATTACTTTCAATAATGCTTAATTTATGGAAATTTTTCCTTGGAATTCTTTTACTAGTGATAATGACAGAGCCGATAATTGGACAAAATCCATTAATTTTATCGGTAACATGTAGAAATTACGGTAAAGTATTACTACGTGGTGAATTGGATGATTGTGTTCCGGAAAATTTCCGTTGTTTTCTGAGAAATCCAATTGTTGTTAACTTAACCGAACTTGTCTGTATTATGGATGATGAAAATTCGGCAAGCAAAGCACCATTGGTAATCTACATTGCTGTTTTAAACTATATCGAAAATGAAACTCTTTCATATTTCACTTCTTATAAAATTTAAAGAAAAAAATATTATATATATATTTTTTTTTAAATTGTTTTGTTTGAAAAAAAAACACAACATTTCACCAATAATGTTGTAGTCGATTATTAATCTTACTGAAATTGTTGAAATAAAATATTGAAAAAAAAAATTAGTGTAGATTGTAGGTAAAAAATTAGGTGATAACAAATAAATGATTAATGAAAAATAAAAAAAAAAGATAAAATGGAGTGAAAAATATGTGAGATAAATAATTATGCAAAAAGAAGTAATAATAATTAATCAAAAATGTATTTAATCAATTTAATAATATTTAATCAAAATATATTTCTTCACACAGGTGTCATGCATTGTGACCGGAAATGTTCCATTAATGAAGGAGAAATGTTCGGAAGAAGGTGACTGTCATTCCGTAACAGTATCCTGTCCAATTGCAAAAAAAATGGATGATGGCATTATCAGTGATAATGATGTGATAGAAGATGAACAAAATATTATCACTGAAAAAGCATTACCACATCCACCGCTGCTATCAGTTTCTGGACCAGAAGGTCAGATGCTTTATGTTTTAAATCATTCAAATATATTTTTGATATAAAATAAAAGAGAGAGAAAAAAAAGGGATAGAATGAAAAATTGTTAGGAAGAAATAAGTTATGTAAATTTTTAACTAACATCGAAAAATTTCAGATAGCTCTCGATCATGCTTCTTCTTTAGCGACAATAAAACCTCAGGTATGATCGATGATGGTAATAGAGGTAATATTGGTAATAGCTGGAAACCCTGTATGCCAGTTGATGCAGTTTGTCGTATGGTTGAAATGACAACAGTTGAAAAATCATCTGTCGCATGTACCGTTCAAAAAAATGAAAAATTGGTTAGTTAAATGTGATTTTATTTTTTTACTATTTAAAAGAAAACATTGTTGGATAAAAAGTTTTAAAATTGTCAGTGATTTTTAATTCTTTTCTTTCTAGAAATTAAAACAAAAAATTCTAGAAAATAGAAAATTCTAGAATTTTGAAAAGATTAAGAATTTTACAATTTCTAAATCTTTGTGCATTAAAAAACTAGCAAACAAACAAATAGCAAAAAAAAAAGCAAAATTATAAAATTTAAAAAGTTTTATTTGTTGTTAAATTTCTAGCATGAATGTTTGATAATCTGGGAGACTGATAAACAACGTTGCCATGATTCGAACTGTTTAAGCTTACATTTGAACTGTCCAGTACTGGAAGAGTATGACATGGTTTTACCAATACAAAAAAGTAAGACAGGTTGGTTTTCTTGAACTTTTATTTTTTACTTTAAAAATTGAAGGAAAAAAGGACTGCTGAAAATCATTAGTTTAAAAAAAAAAGAGTAATTTTACTTAAAGATATGTCACTAAAAATTAACAAAAAAAAAGAAAAAATTACTGGTCGATACTTCTTAATGATTGTGTCGAGAATTAGAAATGCATCTGGATTATTATTTTATTATAAAATGCAAAAAATTTTTATTCATCATCACTCAAAATATTTCCAAATGTAATTTATTTTATAAGTCCAAATTACTTCATTTAAAGTACCAATATTCATTTATAAGAGCATAAATAGCTGAATGATAATTTAATTTAATTTAATTTTGACATAAATCTCAATATGCTTTTCAAATATTTCTAAATATAATTTATTTGATATGTTTATCAAAATTTTCAAATATAATTTATGCGAAAATATGATAGATGATATTAATATTTGAATATCTACAGGTGCTCTTGGTCTGGTACTATCATTAGCATTCTTTACTGGTGTTATTGCTGCATGCATTGGAAGCTATTTTCAACAAGTATGCCTGAAAACTGCAAATATTAGAAATGATGAAAATGATGACAATGAAACGAAGTTCTGTAGAAATAGCATTTATTCGTCATATATTAATAAGTAATAACTATTTGATAATAATTAAGCAACATTACTCACTGTTTAAGTTAATGCAAAATATGACCTTTTTTTCCTTATTTTATGAAATTTAAAAAATAGCAATTTTGGATGAAACAGTGCAAATAGAAGAATAAGAAAGTGCTAAATAAAATTGGATGTTTTAGGTAAGCGAATTTAATAAAAATTAATTTTGATGATCAGAAGATTAAGAACGGAAAAGGTATTAATTGGCAGATTGAAAGATTGCTGTTCAAATGATTGTCTATTTAACAAATAATTCAATTGGAAAACGAATTAATATTTTAAAATCAAATTTTAAATTTGTGTTAAAAGAATAGAACTAATAGCGCAAATGGCTACAATGGTAATTTTTATTGTACCGATGAGAACTGGATGGAAATTATTGTGAAAAACATTGTTCATTTTTATCATTAATTTAATTAAATTTGCCATGTATGCTTTTAGTAGCGAAACTGTGTTGCACGGATAAATTAAGAACTAATTTTAAAATATTTATCCCGTCACTATTATATTTTTTAAACTAATGTTCAAAGGCTTTTTAAATCGATTAAATCTAATTAATTAAATTAAAAATCAGTTAAATATAGATCTTACTCTAGTTTTTTTCGATATATTTAATAACTTAGTATTGATTAGTGTGTATGATCAAATCAGTGCACATAGATAACTGATAACAGTGATTATAAGATTTCAATTAATATAATCAATACTTTTGCCTAACTATTAGACAAAGAATAAGAATAAATAAACATTTCTTGCTATAATTTAAAACAAATTTGTACAAAATTAAAACGAAAATTAATGAAATAATAATGAAAAGAGTAGAAAAAATTAGTTTAGCAGAAAAATTACTAAAAAAAAATAAAACATTGTTGATAACAGTTATTTGTTCAAGGTATTTAATTTTAGATATATAATGAAAGTGTAATGAAGGTTAATTTAAATTTACATTTTATTCCTGTTTAATTCTAAAAATTTAATTAATTTGCAAATTTAGAAAAAAACTGCTAAAAAATTTTTTTCTTTAATTATTATCTTTTCTATTTTGTTTTGTCCTTTTTTTTTCTTTTTTGTAGTTACTACAAGAAGGAAGAAAAACGAATTGAGAGAGTGAATTATAAGAAAAGCCATTCAATAGTAATTTCTGATTAAAAAAATGAAATAAAAATTTGACTGTCGAACCTTTTACAAATGTCACAATGGACAATTGCATGTGTAAACAAAGGATGACCTTACCAATAAGCTTTTTTCACTTACTTAAATGAATTTCATGCCAAATACTCTCATCCTTATGCATGAATTGCTGGAACAAAAACTGAGCCAACTGTTTAATTTTGAATATTGCTTAAATTAGTAAACTTATTGTAGCTCTTAGCTCTTAACTGTAAAATAATAATCATTTCAAAGTAATAACAGGTAAGTAGTAAGTAATTGTAAAAATGAGTAAATTATATGCTAAAAATTGCAGAAATATTGGAACAAAAAGAAAAAAAAATTCAATCAAAGTAAGCTTTTAAAGATAGAAATTGAAAAAATAAGAAATGAAAATATGAGATTAGGAAATCGTTAATCTTTAATTCAAATACATAATGATATGAAGCAATGAGTGAAAACAATAGAACAAATAAAGCAGTGATAAATGATGGATGAATTAGGTGATAAGATTAAT